AGGACCAACGCCTTTAACTCCCACTTCTTCAGGGCTAAAAGCTTGTCGGTGTGTATTTTAGAGTTGTGGAGATAAGTATGGGTGATACCCTGTTATGTTTGTATTGTTTTCTATGTTCCCAAAGTGGGTAGATTGATCCTCTTTGCCTTTCCTGTTGACCATTGCCACCATGACAGAAAGTGATGATAAACTTGTATACATCTTAACAAGCAGCAAATACACTATAACTTAGGCCCTCAATTATCCCGTCCATGTCAGTATAGAGATCCAGCAGATTTGTTCCCATTGATATCTGATGGGTTTTCAAAGTCTTCTTTCATTTTTTTGAGCTGTGTACTTTAACCACTTGCCGCAGCAGATTTACTGTTAGTGGGCAGCAGATATAGGCTGAGCGACACACCCAAACGTTGCAGCTTATTTTGGGGTTTCGCCGCACCCCGCTGACCTATGCTGTGATGAAACGCAGCACGGGTTTGTCAGCAGGTTACAGCCAATGGTTTTGGCTGTATACCTTCTGATGGGCTGTGGCCAAGCACAGCACAGAGTTCTGTATTTAAAAAACACAAAGAACACAAGTCTGGCTGTTTCTTCTCCCTGAAATCAAATCTGAGTTCAGGGAGAAACAGCAGCCAGATCTGAATAAAAGAAGCACACATTACACTTGCATATACTTGTTAGGCACCACACAGTTAATCACTGATTGCTCTCCTGATCACCCCTGTCATTGGGATAGTGACAGAGCACAGTATTATCACTGATCACTGCATTAGTGTCACTATTGATGTCAGTGTCAGTTAGTGCCAGATTGCCCACACACTGTCACAGGCCCATAACATAGTAAATTCCAGTATATATCCCATAGTTTGTAGACACTATCACTTTCACACAAACCAATCAATGTACATTTATTGGGATTTTTTTTCCCCCAAAAACAAGTAGCAGAATGCATTTTGGCCTAAATTTATGAAGAAATTTGATTTTTTAAATTTTTTTATTGGATATGTTTTACAACATATTTTATTCCCTGTCTTTTTCACTTATATAATAAAAAATAATAAAAGAAAAAACCCAGTGGTGAACAAATACCTCCAAAATAAAGCTCTATTTGTGTGAAAAAATTATATTAATTTAATTTGAGTACAGTGTGGCATGACCGCACAATTGCCAGGTAAAGTAGCACAATGTTGAGTAGCAAAGCATGCCCTGGTTAGGAAGAGGGTAAAATTTTCTTTGAGTCAAGTGATTAAAGAATAACTGTAGCTAGGCTATGGACATTCCAATATATTTCAAATCTCTTTCATAGTCAAGCAGTGGAAAAGCTTTAAATAAAGCCCTCAATGACCTCTGTAGCTGCAGACACTGTCGAGCATTTCATTCTCAAAGTTGTCAATAGAAGAAGTAAAATGTTGTAGTCAGATCTCTTTGTGTTTAGAGGTGGCAGGATATGCCAAGTCACTGCTGGGAGGGGAAGCTACAAAGAGGAAGTGAAAGTGAAACTGAGCGGCTTCTACAGTACACTTTGAGAATTAATTAATCCACAGTGCCTGCATCTACAGGAGGTCAGTGAGGGCATGTTTTAAAGTTTACCCTCTATTTCTTAAGGATGCAAAACTATTTCCATCGTGTGGCCGCAGTCCTTCTATAAATCTCTCTGATATCCCTTTGGTTTCTTTGCCCAGCTCATTATAGATTCCTCATTAATTAAGTTGAGAATCATTCTCATTATGATCCAATCGGCACATTACAGAAGGAAGTCTTTAACCTTGGGGCTCTTCTTTGTGGTTAATTTACCCAGTACAGGATTATTACCTTTTCTTTATATTATTCCTCTCAAGCAGCTGTTTCCACCTGCCATGAAGGACCGCAATCATACCCCAAGGAGAAGGATAACGCCATCATTGCAGTTCATACGTGAAAACATTCAACATTGTATATTTTATATTTCTGCTACAACATAAAAAAGCTAACAAAAAAAAAAATCAACAACTCTGCAAAAGTGTCTGTAGTGACCAATAGCTTCTCATTTATTTAACCCATTGACACCGAGCGCACTCATATTTGCATGCCATAAGAAAAGTGCGCCCCCAGCACATATGTCCATGACTCACGGAAAGGTCCCAATCTCCCCTTACGATCGGGACCATTTCCGATCATGTGACCGCTGTGACAGCGAATCATGGCGGTCACATGACCCTAAAACACGCTAGCCTCCCGGCTTCTGAAACTCTTAAAGGACTGTGAGGTGCCAGCGCTAAGAGGTTAAAACAAAAATGTGGCTTTGGCCCAACGTTTCTTGCTGTGTTACACTGGCTATATGTTAACCCCTTGGCCTAGGTCTCCATCAAAGGCTACAAATCCTCAGTGTTCCCTATCCGCAGAGGGACTAGACAGGGCTGTCCACTTTCCCCACTGCTTTTTGCACTAGCAATTGAACCTTTGGCTCTGGCAATTCGGTCTCATCCCCAAATCCATGGCGTCCATTGCGGCCAACAGGAACATAACTGTGCCCTATTTGCCGATGATGTTCTTATGTATATTACTTCTCCTTTGATAACTATTCCAAATTTACTATCATTATTACACCAATTCTCCGCTCTTTCCGGGTTCTCCTTTAATTCCCAAAAAACGACTGCCCTTAATGTCTCCTTACCCATATCTGATGAACAGCAGCTTAGAACTTCCTACGATTTTCAATGGGCGAATAGATCTTTAACCTACTTAGGAGTACACCTTACCAATTCCATCGAGACACTTTATCTGGCTAATTACCCTCCCCTCTTTCAAACACTAAGGGATGATCTCCATCGTTGGGCTGATTATTCCTTGTCCTGATTTGGTAGAGTCAACTCAATCACGTTTCTGCCTCAATTACACTATTACTTCTGGACCTTGCCGATTGCGATTCCGCAATGAGACTTGTGGCTTCTTCAAGCTGAGGTTCTTCATTTTATTTGGAATAATAGACGGCCTCGGATGAACCAGAAGACGTTATATGCTTCTATATCGCGGGGTGGTATTGGCCTTCCTAATCTCCATGCGTACTTTCAAGCTGCGCAGATCGCCCAACTAGCTTATACTACGGTTGGGGGGACACACTCACCATTGGGTTTCTGTAGACACTCCTTCCTGTTACCTTTTGGCTATTGGAGTGTTAGTCTGGCTTCCTAGTTGATTACGTCCTCCTATATTGTACGCCATCTTGTCGTTTTCCTTGGCAGTTTGGGACAGGGTACACCACCGCAAGTCACTAACATCACCACATACACCTATTGCTCCAATCTTTTTTTTTCCCATTATATCTTTTATTAAATTTTCTTTTAAGAAAAAATACCTTACAAAACCATCATATATCTTTTTACATCATACTAATAAACTTTATTCCCATACCCACCCCAACACACCCCTGTCCAATCTCATTTTATCCTCTCTTTCCCCTCCTATTAATCGAGTCATGTATATCGATCTATCTAGTTGTATCCGACCCTTGGCGATTGCATGGACTGTCACTCGTAAGCAACTTTTTCCATGAATTCTCTTAGCAATTATTTTTACAGGGTAGGTTGCCAGGTCTTTCCCCAACCCCCACCATGCAGGAGATCCCGCATGGCCAGGGATGAAACTAGGACAATTTAGGGCTTGTTCACACTTGGCTGTTTTACCAACGCTTGCCAAACGCCCCTATAGCGTTTGGCAAGCGTTGGTCTGGCGTTTGCGGAGCGCTATTTGACGCTCCGCAAACGTTCCGCAAGCGCCGCATGCACGGTTTAGCGGAGATTGCCAAACGTTAATAACGCCCCACAAACGCCTATAATGCAGTTTGAGTGGTGTTACCGCTCCGCAAACACCCCGCAACCGCCGTCCAGGCGTTTGCAGAGCGGCACCATAGACGAGAATAGGAGGCTTCAATGCCTCCTGACTCGACCAGAGGCGTCCAATTTGCCGCGACGCAACGTGACGCAAACGCTCCCGTTAGAACAGCACCATGTGCTCTAATATGCAGAATTGGCAGAGGCGTTTGCTCAGCGGTAAAAAAAATCTTCCAAACACCTCTCTGCCGCCTGCACACAACACTAGTGTGAACGTAGCCTAAGACAGGAGCCAATTAACCTACCAGCAAGTCTTTGGAGTGTGGGAGGAAACCCATGCAAGCACAAGGAGAACATGCAAACTCCATATAGAAGGTGCCATGGTTGGGAATTGAACCCATGACCCACTTACTGCAAGGCATATGTGCTAACCACTAAGCCACTATGCCGCTGCCCCAGACATGTAGATAGATCTCTTTAAACATTTAAATTCTCTGGTACTACTATCGGGGGACCTTTCATTTTTAGGTATTTTTCTGAAGTTCTAAACTCAAACCATTTACCCCAAATCTTTCTAAACTTTTCCATTTCATCTTTCTCCATGTAACAAAGTTCCTCCATCTTACTAATATATTCAACTCTGTCTATCCAGTCCCTCATTGATGGTGGATCCTGGGCCTTCCAAAACCTGGGGATTAAACCCTTTGCCGCACCAATCAGATGATATAATAAACTGTTTTTATATTGTTTTACTGACAACTCTGTTCTTTGGAAAAGACATACCCGTGGATCCTTCTGAATACATGTCCCCCAAATCTCCTGTATATGATGAATTATCTGCTTCAAATATAACTGAATTTTTGGGCATTCCCACCATATATGAGCCATTGTCCCTATTGCTCCGATCTTTTGCAACCCTGAATTTGTGCCTGGATTAACACCGGCCCCTTTTCAATGGTGGATCAGTAAGGGCTTGTTGCAGATAGGAGACTATCTTAATAGTGCTTGTATACATTCTCTGCAATATTTTAAAGTCAAGTTACATATGTCTACTACTGAGATCTTTAGATACAACCAGATTGTCTCATTTATCCTCTCGAAGCTCGCTTTATTGGACGTGTCACCTTTGCTCACCTCCTTTCGAACTCTCCTGCAGGAATAGAGATTCCCCAAAAGGTCGGGTCTCTGCAATATATGCTCTCCTCACTGACCTGAATTGAAAACTCCCTTATATGGAACATTGGGAAAAAGATTTAGCTGTCAACTATCAATTATCGGATTAGCAAGATATTGAATCAGCGCTGTCTAAAATTTCTATTAATACTACCTTAATTGAAGCTAATTCTAAAACTTTGTTGAGATGGTATCTGGTGCAGGGGCGGACTGACCATTCGAGCACTCGGGCTCTGCCCGAGGGCCCTGGGTCAGTAGGGGGCCCCATGAAATGCCCCTGGTACCTTTTATAGGCTTTTTTGGGTGTCCTTTGAGTGTGGGCAAGGACATGACCCATGATCACCTATTGCCCGGGGGCCCCATGAGTTTTCAGTCTGCCCCTGATCTGGTGCCTACCTGGATTGCAAAGATGCATCCGTCTGCCTCTGCGCTGTGTTCCCGGCGTTGTGGCCAGGTTGGGTCTATTATTCACATCTGGTGGCAATGCCCGCTTGTAACTAGATTTTGGATTTGAATGTTCAATTTGGTAAACTCAGTAACGTGTATAAATATTTGCAGATCCCCGGAGACGGCGCTCTTTCACAAATTTCCAGATAATGTTCCCAAGAAATCTCATAAATTGATTCCCTATATGTTTCTGGCAGCAAGAATTACTATAGCTAGACACTGGAGGCAATTGGTCATTCCACCTGACTATGTTAAAAAGAAACTTAATTGGATCATGATTAACGACAAACTCACCTGTGTCCTACACAATAACTCGAAGAAATTTGATAACACATGGAACCTGTAATGGAACCGTCCCCAGACTGCACTTGGGTACTTCCATTAGGATACCGCTTCCCTGTCTGAACAACAACCACAGACACCACCAGACAATACAAGACTAGACGACACCCGTCTTGAAGTAAACCAGGAAATAGACTACTTTATTTTAACACAGATACAAGATATATACATTCAAGGGAACACCCCCCCCCTGCATAATGACACAGGTCGGGGCAATCTACATTTAGTAACAAGAGGCACACCAACAGACAGTCCAATCAGGAGGGAGGGCTGCTAGAAACACCCCCACCAAGCCAATACACAAACACATACATCCCATAATAGTTTGCTCCCAAGCAAGACACACAATAGAACAATGGGATGCAACCACATGGCATTAAACAATCAACAACCCCCCACCTAAACATTAGGACAGATCACCCTGCACCCCTAACAGGCACAGGGTGACTTACACATAATAGGGATATGGGGTCTCCCCACAGGGGTCTCCTCACCTCTCCAAAGTGAGCTGGGTTCCATGGGCCCCCCACCCAAAGTGACTCCTGTAACAGTACCCATGGATCCAATACCTTTCTCTGCCTTAATGACATCTCAACAGTTTTGGGAGTTACTTTAGTACATGACTTTATTATTTGTAATAAAGTAACTCCTGAAACCAGTCCGCAAGTGGAATAATTCCACATAGGTACTCACCACCTACTGCTTTTAGGAGTTTTCTCCCCTTTAACAGGGTGGGAAGTAGGCCTGCTGTCCTGGAAGATTCATAGAAATACCATCACCACACCAAGGAGTCGTCGCAGAATATTGTGGCCCTGGAGACCAATTACAAAGTTTTGACCCGCTGGTACCTAGTCCCGGCTAGAATTGCGAAATATACCCCTGATTACCCCTCAGTTTGTTTCAGGGGCTGCGCAGACCTGGGTACTTTTTTTCATATTTGGTGGGATTGCTCCATCGTTCGCGCATTTTGGGTGGAGGTTTTTAAAATATTATCTACACTCAGTGCCGTAACCCTCTATCCCGATCCATTAATCGCGCTTCTTAACCTGCGACCACCTGGCATCGCTAAGGCGCATTTCAAACTCATTCTACAAGTCACCACTGCAGCCAAGCAGGTTATCGCTAAATCATGGAAATCTCCCTCGTTGAGTATGACTGCAGTTTCGAATAGGGTCACTCAGGCAATGATTCACGCAAAAATAGAAGCCACTATCCTAGATTCCATCCCTAAGTTCAAGAAGATTTGGAATCTCTGGGTAGAGCATTTCCTCCCATCCAATTTTGATGACTCCCTTCTCAATCCGTAATCTGCATCTTTTGTTTGACGGTACCATTCCTTAACCATACTGCGGTTTTCCCCCTACCGTGCAGCCGTATGCCCCTTCCCATCCTTCCCCCCCGTCCCCATTTTGTTAGGCCTTAACTGCCATTTGATAGTTCTCTTTATTAGTGATGCCTGACCTTGTATTATTGGGTTTCTTACTGTGCAATTAATGTACACCTTCAATGACCCATACTTTTGCTTATTATTTTGTACTGTTCCATGTTAAAATAATACAATTATTTGAACAAGAAATACCATCACCAAATCGTACATAATATCATCAAAAGAATCTGAGAATCTGGAGGAATCTCTGTGTGCAAGAGACAAGGCTGCAACACAACATTGGATGCTTGTGACCTTCGGGCCCTCAGATGGCAAGAGTGAGATATCAGCTGGAAAGAGAGCACAATAATCTGGCAAACAGGATGTGCAAAGGCATGGCAAAATTAGGAAGTTCATGAAAGGAACAAATTTTAAAGTTCAAGAGAAACAAGGTTCAAGGCAGGATCATGCGTGGATTTGTCCAGCATCTCAAGTGGCTCAGCAAGTAGCAACATTGCCCGACGCAGAACAGGTCACAGGTTTGGACCTGGGTACTGACATTTGTATACATGAAAGGACCAATGCCTTTAACTCCCACTTCTTCAGGGCTAAAAGCTTGTAGGTGTGTATTTTTGAGTTGTGGAGATAAGTATGGGTGATGCCCCTCTGTGCATTCCACACCCTGTGATGTTTTTATTGCTTTCTATGTTGACCATTGCCACCATGACTCTTTTTAAAAAAACGCAGCGGGTGAAAATGTGAGATATGAACCTGTCCCATAGGAAATCATGTTAAATGGACTGTACTGCGTTTCTGCAAAGTGCTGCAGCAAACGCTTAGGTGTGAACCCGGGGTTAATCCTGCATAATAATAATGTAAAATTGCACCCAAGTCACCTCGGATGGTCCACTCCTTGAATATTTTAGGAAAGGTTAGAACAGTGGTTCTCAACCTGTGGGTCGCGACCCCTTTGGTGGTTGAACGACCCTTTCACTGGGGTCACCTAAGACCATCGGAAAACACATATTTCCGATGTGTAAAGAGCAGCTACTGTGTTGAAAGCAGCTACTGTGTTGAAAGCAGCAGTATTGGAGGTAAAACGACACTTCATGAATTATAATTGCTGGGTAAATAATTTTATGGTTGGGGGTCACCACAACATGAGGAATTAAAGGGCCGCGGCATTAGGAAGCTTTTGAACCACTGGGTTAGAAGGACCGTTTTTTTTTTCGCTCTGTGATCCGACATACCTGAAGGAAATGATGCCACAGCATTTTCCTTGATAAATGAATACTTGAGAAATAATTGAAGTGTTGTGTAAACACGAACCTTCCATTGGCTGAAGATGTCTTATCGCGACAGAGTACAAAGCAGAACAGAGGTAGACGGCGTGAAATGAAGGTCGCGCTGCGATGTGGAACTGGAGGCTTAAGATAAAGGCTCGGCGAGGAGAGTGCGTGGGGCAAGACTGTTATGAACCGCTGCGTTTTACGCGATAGCATTTGTGCTGCGTTGAACTTTCCTTTCCTGCATTGGAAAAAGTAGGATGAGCTCATTAGGGAAGCAAGGAATGCTTTGCGCTGATAACATAGGACATGAATTTTACTGTAGGGCAAATTTACCTTCAGAGCAGAAAAGAAAAAAAAAAGATGGTGAAAATCTGCTCATTCTCGAGTCACAAAGTTGCATATTGGAAGAGTCCAAGATGGATCCCAGTGGGGCTTCTGCTCACAAAAAATATAAGGATGGAGCAAAAAGCTTCAAATCTGTTCAGCTGGTGGTTGGACAGAATGGATAAGGATGAACGCCGCTCAAACCAATGGAACAAGATGTAGTAGGATAGCCTCTGTAACCAAGCCCACTATGGGAGGGGCGAAACGTGTGTGAGTGCGTGGCCAGAGTGACGTGGCCAGAGTGATGGCCATGGCCAGAGTGTGTGGCCCGAGTGACGGCCATGGCCAGAGTGTGTGGCCCGAGTGACGGCCATGGCCAGAGTGTGCGGTCCGAGTGACGGCCATGGCCAGAGTGTGTGGCCCGAGTGACGGCCATGGCCAGAGTGATGTGGCCAAAGTGATGGCTGAGGCCATCCTACTACATCTTGTTCCTCTCTGACTCCTGTGGATTGGTTTGATTGGCATTCATCCTCATCTATACTGTTAAGTTTCTAGAGTTACTTGGGACGCTGCTCTCATTTTCTTTTCTCTGCCGGCGGGACAATTTTCATTTGCTGTAAGCCTCGAGTGGCGCCAGAAGCATACCCACGGTTGGACAGAATGGACGCCAACATTTTTCTTTGCTCAACAGGATCCAAAATTTTTCCAAGGAGCTTGCCCTCCATCCTGGAGTATGGGCACCGCGGCTGTATGTTGGGAACTCATAGAGTACATGTATGTAGAGTCAGGCTCGGTTCACATCTATATGGGTCTGTAGGTTGGGAACTCATAGAGTGCATGTACGTAGAGTCAGGCTCGGTCACATCTGTATGGGCCTGTGTGTTGGGAACTCATATAGAACATGTACTTAGAGTTAGGCTCCGTTCACATCTGTATGGGCCTGTGTGTTGGGAACTCATATAGTACATGTACTTAGAGTTAGGCTCCGTTCACATCTGTATGGGCCTGTGTGTTGGGAACTCATAGAGTATATGTACATAGAGTCAGGCTCGGTTCACATCTGTATGGGCCTGTGTCTTTGGAACTCATAGAGTACATGTACATAGACTCAGGCTCCGTTCACATCTGTATGGGCCTGTAGGTTGGGAACTCATAGAGTACATGTATGTAGAGTTAGGCTCAGTTCACATCTGTATGGGCCTGTGTGTTGGGAACTCATAGAGTACATGTATGTAGAGTCAGGCTCGGTTCACATCTATATGGGTCTGTAGGTTGGGAACTCATAGAGTACATGTACGTAGAGTTAGGCTCTGTTCACATCTGTATGGGCCTGTGTGTTGGGAACTCATAGAGTACATGT